TAGAAAATGCGTTGAGATGTATTAAAGTTTGAAGACTCTATATTACCAGAGGAATGTTTGCCATCGCGAAAAATTCCATTTTTTGCCAGTTCGTTAGAAGAAAGTAACGCAATGTTTATAATTCCCGCACAACTCTTATATTCATGAGAAATAGCTGAGTGGCAAAAGTAGTCACTATGCTTCAGACCCATTCTAGTTATTCATTATAAAAAGAACAAAAACATAAGTATGTCAACCATTAAATAATTTTGTATGATTTTTGGCTATAAAAAGTAAAACGCAGTATACAACATTTATACATTACAAATATACCTTTACCGACAGGGCATCCGAAAACAAAATTACACAAAGACTCGTTGCATCTGCATTCTTCTAAGCAGGCCATCCCATAGGCAGGGAATACACACCTGGTACTACAGTTTATACCATGAAATCCACTTGGACAAGCTGCATCAATGTTAAAATATTGTCAAACAATACAGATATACGAAATAAAATTAAGAAATATAATATAAATGTCGTACAATAATGGAAGTGTTTCCTTCCACTAAAACATGCATTTTTTCTCTTCATTTCGAAGTTTTTTTCCTAATCATTCTTACTAATAATTTCTTTTACAATATGAATGAACACGTTTGTAACAGGAATGAAAGAATTTCGTTTTTTTTTCCAAATACAAAAATGTAATTTGCAACCTGCACAGGAGTCGTTAGATGTTCTGTAATATCCATCACAGCAATCAAGACCATAGGGGAATCTGGTCGTGTGAAAACGATAAGTGCAAAATAAACTATAAAACATTTTCGAAACCGACGTGTTTAGAAATATTGAAACCACTACGTAGACGACAAAGCACTTATTACACGTACCTGCATTTCAAATAACTCTGTGCAGTGCTTCCAGTGGAAAATAATATCAGCATTAGAAAGAATGTCATGCAAACATACGTCATGTTTTCAGACATGTTTTAGCAATATATACACGTTACAAAATTATTCAAGAGGAAGTTATAACCGTGGTTCTCCGATGATTCAATTTTCACTTCTAGAAAAGCCGAATTTTTTTGATTTATTTTTTTAAAAATGATATGAAAATTTGAAAACATTTCTAAGTGATGAGTCATTTGAACACAATTTAAAATTACAAGATAAGATGTGACGATCAGAGATAACATTTTCTTAGAAATAACTATTTGTTTAGCAAATTATAAAAAATACGATCGAAATTGATAATAATGTGCTGAAAAATCTTTTTTTACCATGCATCAACAAACAAGTCGCCTGAGGGGTGGGGCCAAAACCACTAAAATTAATGCAATCTTTAAAAACCTTCTTTACTCGGGGACATCAAGTAGTCAAACTGTTTGCATGATTGTGATCAGCATTGAGTCCACTACAAAATTGTGAAGTTATGGCGGTCAGGGGTTCTATTGCTAGGGCGGGGCTTAATAAGTATATAGTGAAAATGCATTGTTTTTTGGAAAGACTTCTTCTCTGCTCCTGGTCATTAAGCAAACAGACTACGTACATAATTATGATAAGCAAGAGTGCCTCTACCAAAATTGTGAATTTCATGGCCCCAGAGTCAGGGGTTCTGGCGTTAGGGCGGGACTCTATTGATTTTTTAGGGAAAATACCTGAATTCTTTGAAAATATTTTTTTTCTGATCCTAGATATTTAATATACTAACTAAGTGCATAGTTATGATAAGTAAGAGTGTCTACCAAAATTGTGAAATTTAGGGCTCCAGGGTCAGAGGTTCTGGTCTTGGGGGAGGGGGGGCTCTATTGATTTTAAAGTGAAAATACATGTAAAATTGTAGAATTCATGTCACTTGGGTAAGGGGTTCTTGTGTTAGGGCGGGACTCTATTGATTCTACAGTGAAGAATCTTCTTCTCTGCTCCTGGGTATTAAAAGATTAACTAAGTGCATAGTTATGATGAGTTAGAGTCTCTCCCAAAATGGTGAATTTTAGGGCCCCAAGGTCAGAGACTCTGGTGTTAGGGGGGGGGGGTTCTATTGATTATTTTGTGAAAATACATGAATTCTTTGAAAATATTTTTTCTGCTCCTGGGTATTAAATAAACTAAATAAGGACAGAGTTATGATAAGGAAGAGTGCCTCTACCAAAATTGTGAAATTCATGGCCCAGGCTAGTGGGTTCTTGTGATTATATATTGATTATATAGTGAAGATACATGAATTCTTTAAAAATCTTCTTCTCTGCTCCTAGGTATTAAATAGATTATTAATAAGTAAGTGCATAGTTATGATGAGAAAGAGTGCCTCTACCAAAATTGTGAATATTAGGGCCACAAAGTCTGAGGTTCTGGTGTGTGTGTATGTGTGTGTGTGGGGGTGGGGCTCTATTGATTATATAATGAAAATACATGAATTCTTTGAAATTCTTCTTCTCTGCTCCTAGGTATTATAAAAACTTACCAAGTACATGATTATAATGAGCAAGAGTGCCTCTGCTGCAAAAATGGTGAATTTTAGAACCTCACGGTTAGGGGTTCTGGTTTGGGGGGAGGGCTCTTTTGATTATAGTGAAAATTTATGAATTATTTGAAAATTTTCTTCTCTGCTCCCAGGTATTAAGCAGTTGAACTACCTATATAGTTACAGTATGAACAAGGACCCTTATCTTTCAGAATTGTGAATTTCAAGGCCCCAGGGTCAGGGGTCTTATACAGGCTAGGGAGGGGGGGGGAGGGGCTGTACTTATAGAATAAAAATGAATGAAATGCTTGAAATCTGCTTCTTGATATTAATCAATTATTTTTGAAAAGCAAGGATGTGTGGATTTAGGCCTAAGGGTCAGGGGTTCATGTGTGGTAGGGGCACTACTGATTATTGCTGAATATTACTGATTAGTTGAAATTCATTTTTTTTCTCTGCCTTACCTATGGGTAATAAGTAACAAAACTAAAAGCTAAGTGTATAGTTATGATGATCAATGATGCCTCTTTCAAAATTGTGAATACCATATTATCTGGCTGAAAACATGAATCAAAATCAATCACTGGAATGTTGTTGCATAATGCTCAAGTGACCTATAAGGCCCATGGGTTTCTTGTTCTAAAGTATAATAGGATTAAAAATCAGTAGATCCAAAAACTAATTTTTCAAAGAGTATTACATTCAAAATTTCTGGATTACACTACATGTAACTAAACCCAATAATGGTAGGTTCCCCAACACAGGTATGGATACTTGGATCCTCGATACCTTATTGGGCTGGACAGTTTGCTAGATCGTATCACCTTGGAACAGATCTGAATTTACCTTTCGAATTCCTTCGCAGCACATTTAAGGTTACAAATGGAAATATCGGCGATTTTTTAAGATAAAAAATACATACTTTTTGTAGGATGGGCGAATCTTTTTGGGAATTCACTGATATATAAAAAATGAAATGTGGATTAAATATACATGTTGGTGACATCTAGATTTTTTATTTAGACTTGTCATATGATGTCGACGTCACGTGACTTTGGCAAGTATACTTGCAATTTAGAGGTCATCTATAAATTTCAATATTGCAAGGGCATAATCGAGTTAAAAATCTTATTTATTTTTATAATCCTTTTCAATACTATATGTAGTTTGTGAAAAATGCTGCGAACCTATATAGATTTCCTTTTTTGATTGATAAAATTTAATTTGATGGACAGCAGGTTAAATATTATGCTGGTCAACTACATTTAATATAGCTATAATTAATTTATTTGCCAGATTTCAAGAGGTTTGCAACACTTTTCAAATATCTTAATGCTTTTTGAGTTTATGTGTAAAATTTTGACAAGATACATTGAGGGTATGCCCTTGCAATAAATCGGTTTACTAGGACCCTTCCATTATTTTTTGAATGAATCTGCATAAAAACACACCACAGTATCGCTTGTCTGGAGAATGCACGTACAGTTTATAAATAAAATACTAAAAAAAGACATCGCATCCAGGTTAATGGCTTTTTATTTTACTGCAAATAATATTTTATTTGAGAACAAAAGACATTTTTCATTGTACAAAATGTGACTTGATCAGCCTCTCACTGTGTAAAAACTGCGTCATTGTTTGCGAGATGACGTCACATTGACAAGTACATTGCTATCGATGCATCGTTGGATACTGTTGTGTGGGATTAAACAAGCGAAAAACTGCGTGTAATAGTAAGTTTGTATGTAGTGTACAGCTATCCAGCTGTTTGAAATGGCAAATAATTTCATTTTTTGGTATTCTGAACACTTTATATTATGCGTGACGTCATAGTAAACATTTCCCGTACAAATTAGGCCCCGCCTCCTTACTGTAACCTTAACTGTGCTGCGTTTGCAAAGGGAGGGATGCAGCTGCACCAATTGGATCCAGAGATCATGAGATTCCTTGAACAGCATGCACAGCCAAATCTCCTGATTTTCCATTTACGCTCAAATGACCTTGTTACAGAAGGTTTAACCATTTAAAAGTTTGTGGAAGAAATAACATGTGGCTTACTTTGATACAATGCATTTTTACCAAAAACAAAGTGAGTATGGTCTTCAATTCTCCCTCGCTTATATTGGCATGGTGCACTATTAAAAATTGGCCACAAAATTGATAAAAAACGCAGGAAAATAAACATGCAGGTCAACAGGTTCATTTCTGAATTGGTGTGAAGTCTTATTTTACATGATAACATAGCAGTCAACAACATAGGTCTATTTCGTCATGACGGGACACACCTCTGTGATGAGGGGAATTAAGTGATGTTAAAAAACCTTAGGTTGAGTGTGCTTAAAATAATTAATGAAGAAAACATGAGTGGTTTTGGTTGCATCGGGTATGGAGGAACATCGTATCAATGTCTGTGGCGGGTCTGGGGGAATATAGGTGGGAAGTTTTCAAATCATCTGGCCTTCTGGTTTCCCCATCTGTCATTTAAGCTAGAGGGCGGCTTGTAAAAAGCGAATTTTACATATGTACATGTAAGTATGTGTTTTGAAAAGTGTGTCATAATGGGGTCACTCAAGTTAGACAGTCTTGGATCCCACTCCACCTCTACACATAGGAGGGGAGGCTTAGTCCTGGAGTACATGGTTACTAACAACCAGGTGTAATCCCTGGGAAACGGGGTAAATGGATATTTTGGAAACTCTTCCAATCCCAAATTGGTGGTATTTTCATAGCTGGGATTTTTGGTACTGGTGCTCAACGCCAGACCACCAGTTTGTCCGATATACTTGCTAGGTTGGTATACTGGATATCCCCTCGCACCTGGGTTAAGACAATGTGGCCATTAACTTTCATTTTCTCCCTTTTTTGTCAAATTGTAAATCGATATAGTGTGATGTTTTGTCTAATTGATTCAATAATTTTGGAAAAAGAAATATGTGTTTGTGACAGTGTCATGAGAACAGTTAAGAGAGAAGAGGAAGTGCAAACTTATATGAAATACAAAAGTCTGTGGTGTCAAATGCTTATATTTTGAATGTTCAATTAATTTATAATTTATCTAAAATGTAAGGTAACTCTCAACTTTGACAGCAGGAAAATTGAGCTGTTGAACATTTCCTGACGTTGGACATGTTTAATTGTAATAAGTGTCAAACTCAAAACATATGTTAATTGTATGTTTGAAATAATCATATGTTGAACATACGTTAAACATATGTTTAACATATGGTTGCCACAAACATATGTTCAACATATGTTTTGAGTCGGCTAATGTTCAACATAGGTTTTAACCATATACAGTTAAACTTGTTTAGTACCAACATGGATATTGCAAATACATGGATATATCGAAGTCAATTTGGGTCCTCAGTTTTATGAAACAAATGAATTTCTTATACGGTTATAACGAATTACGGATATAGCGAAGTGATTTCATAGGTCCAAGAGACTTCGTTATAACTGAGTTTTACTGTATTAAACATACTGTGGAAAATTCATATGTTGAATATTTTTTTTAACTTATGTTCAACATATGGTTCTCAAAACATAAGGTTAACATACGTTGCAATTTTTCCTGTGTATTCTTTGTGTGCATAGAGATTCTACTTACTTGTCCGTTCTACAAGAGCTAAGTAGATTTCCATTGTATCAAAGAATTTTTGAAGCTATGCTAAGTTATTGGTTTCGACTCAAACATTAATCAATCTTTTGTCCTAATTAAACAAACATACGCTCTCTCAGGAAGACTTTTTCTACACTATAAACCATAATGGATGCATCCATTCAGACAATTTAAGGTCACTATTTAAAAAAAAAACATTGACTTATCAACACATAGATCTTGTTTATTAAAAACGAAGTCGCCATGCATAATAAGTTTTTTAAAAATAAATCATTGGTATAAAGAAAAATAAAATCAACAAAATAAGGACAAACTAAGGATTTATTTCACTTTCAAAACCAATTTTAGAAGAGAAAATTATCTCAACATTGTCAATACATATCTGGATGCATCACTTAAATACCGAAAGGGGAAGATATGTGAGAGATCCCCTTGAATCTAGAAAGTGCTTTCAATGTCATCTGCAGCAAGTTGAAGATTAACAATATTTTTGCTTACTTGACCAAAATATAACTATGAAATAAGTAATGCAAACAATCTCTTATATCAACCTATATTTCTTTTCTTTGACACTTGGTGGAAACGTGAATGGATTTTGAATGATGATAATATAGAAATTTAATGCTTATTTGTACTTGGAAAAATTACTTCTGACAATGGTAAAAGACCCAAGGTATAAATGTACGTGTATTTGTTATCAAGTTTTCAAGTATTGTGTCTAAAATACATTATAATTTGACAAAACTATCCAAATGAATAAATAAATGTATGGACATGTTTAATTAGCATAACAGTTTTGTATTGTCTTATGATCATTGACTCTGAATACAGTGTAACATGGTAATTTATTAAAATATATATACTTAAAAATATATTATTAAAAAAGATAATTAATTTGTGCAGTTATGTATGTTGAAATGCCTTTCGAGGCCCTTGTGTGGTAAATAAAATATCCTGTATCTTGTATCTTGTACTCATCATCAAAAGAGTTGATAATTTTTTAGCATACACTGTATGCAAGCATGATAATTATTTAACTCATTCAGGCAACAAATACAAACTCTGTATCGTAACACTCATTCAGAGATCATATACGACTTCTGTATCATACATGAAACATTTGATTGGACAACACATTCATGTCCAAAAATAAGGACTATGACATTCATTCAGGGAACATATATAAACATGTCGTGTATCTTAATACTCCTGACAGACAATATACGAATATCGCGATTGGTATCAAAACGCTATGAGGCATATGAATACAAAATGCATACAGAATGAGTTTTTAAGAGTTGAATAATGATAATTTGAAATAAATATTTTAAATTTGTGCTGAAATAAAAAATTAAAAATCACACCAAACATTAAAAATTCATTAAGACCTTGAATTCATTCAAATTGGGTTGTTCGAAAATATATTGATTTTCTAATGAGTCGTCGCAAAAAAGGACCACCGAGCAAGAGAGGCTACAACTGGGGTGGAAGAGTTGGGCGTCAGCAAGGGCAGCAGCCAAAGACAGAAACGGTTTATTCCCCGAACGTCTAAAACCTATAAAAACAGTACAATTATCATTATCAATTAAGAGGCCCTCTGAGGGGCAAGGGTAGCGTTTACCTGTGTTACCTGTTTTGTCTTGATTTAATAGTCTTAATCAAATAGATTTATATTTCAGATAAAATGTGAAGTATAAAATAAAAGAATTCAACGGATGTATTGAAAAAAAATTAAATAGAATATATCTACAATGTCAAGATCAAGCAGCACAATAAAATAAGCTTTTTTTCTTAAATGAAGGTAGTTTTATTCTATACTGTCATATACTTTTCAAAAATAAATAACTCAAATGTATTTCAAATAAATCTGAATGGTTTTTTCTGAAAGCGGAAATTTAATTTGTTCATCGGAGAACCAAAATAATTATAACTTCCTTTTGAATGTTAAATTATCATTTTTAGATATTTCCAAAACATGTTTCATTACATGTATGCTTGTAGGACATTTTCTCATATATTGATATTATTTTCCATTGGAAACACTGCACAACGTCATTTGAAATGCAGGTACATCTTATTAGTATTTTTCTTTTTAATATTTCTAGAAACGTTGGCTGTTAAAATGTTTAACAGTGTTTCCCACCATTTTTTTTCTAACGATCAGATTCCCCTATGGTCTTGATTGCTGTGACGGATATTACAGAACATATAACAACTCCTGTGCAGGTTGCAAATTACATTTGTGTGTATAGCAAGAATATTTCTCTTATTTCTGTTACAAATTCTGTTCAGTTCTGTTCACGAAGTAAAACTAATTTAAGATTGATTTTCAGAATAATTAGGAATAAGGAATTGAATTTTAAATGGAAAGAAACGCAATGGCAAATTAAAGTTTGTTCTTATTATATGTTACTTATATGTCTCTTGATCATATTACATCTGCCTGTATTGTTAGACAAAAAATCAACATTGTTACAGCTTGTCCAAGAGGATTTCATGGGAAAAACTGTAGTACAAGGTGTATATTCCCTTCCTACGGAGTGGGCTGTTTAGAAGAATGCAGATGCAAAAAGTCTTTGTGTAATTTTATTATAGGATGCCACACTGGTGAAGGTATTTTGATACAATTTGCTTTGTATGTGTATTGTACCTCTGTCGATTTTTGCGGCGGCAAATTTTCCTCTGAAAACATAGATTTTTCAAACTCGAAAATATTTTTGGAAACAATGAAACTTGGTTTAATGTTCAAAAAAAGATAATTTCTCAGCAACACAGTGTCAAAATAAATCAGTTCATTGTATTTTCCATTTAAATGTCAGAAGCATAACCATCCTTTTTTTCATTCTTTCTTTCCTTTCAGAATTTAATTATAAAAATATTAATTCTCTTTGTGTCACATGTGACCTAAAACACTACAATGAACTTCTTTTTACACCAAAGAGACATTTTTATCAATTATAGAGATGATATAATGACATTTCCTCAATAGACCAAGAATTTATGAAGTGGAATACCAGTAAATAGAAGTTTACCTTTGAAGTATCGTATAATAATTTGTATATGTACAAGGTTTATGAAGACAATATACTATAAAGACGTTCAATCATAAATTGGATTGATTGTTGAAGTAGTGGGAGGAAAATGGTTAAAACTGAGATTTATTTTGTAGTCTAACAAAAGCAAGCTTGAGAAGAGATGTGTCATTTGTCTGGCAATTTTTCATGGAAGATTTCAAAGTAACAACCAGAAAATGATTAAGTATTTCAACAAAAATGCTATAAATAACCCCCTGAAATATCGTTTAATTTAGACCTTTAACGTGTTAAATATGATAAAAAAGGTCTCCACGCCTCTTTTATATAGACTCTATTTACGCGTCTACCATTAAAATACGAAACCGAGGCTGACCTGACAAACTAGCGTCCTTCACTACGAGAAAAAAGTGTGTAGTGCGGCGAAGGTCATCCAGCAATCGCAACGTCACGGGCCCTTCCGACTAGCGGAAAAACAACCTCAAATGTATATGGTAGCCGCCATGACAACCATCCCTTTTCACGATCTTTGAAATAAATGCATGGAGACCTTTAATCTGTGGAATATGGAGTTTAACTTTATTCAATATAAAGATATTACCTAAAATATGCAAAAGAAGGGACATCTAAATCCATCTATTCTATTTATGGCTAAACAGGAAATGTATAAATTTTTAAAACATCCGGTGATGTTAATACATTCGAGGTTGTTTTTCCGACCTCTGACGGAAAGACCCGAGATGATGCGATTGGGTCATCGAGTGTAGACGCGCTCTCTCGCAACTGTGCCAAAGATAATTGCCGATGTGATATCGGCGTGGTCAAACACATCTAAAATTCCCAATGCATCGCTCAAAAGAGGATACAGCAATTTTGCTAAAGGCTTTATACAAGATATCAAAGGTTTGTTTACGATTTTACGATGGACCATCGGATACCATACATGTACATAAAATTCATCACGTTGATATCTGTCATTATTATTGAGATTCAATGAACGGAAGA